TAAACCCTAAACCCTAAACCCTAAACCCTAAACCCCCAACCCGCAGCCCTCAGCAAGTCCCGGACTTCCAAATATTCGCACAAGATTCGAACTTCTCTCGCGCCGCGGCTGTGCAGCCACTGGGTGTTGTCGTACGACTGCAGCAAACCCTAAACCCTAAACCCTAAACCCTAAACCCTAAACCCTAAACCCTAAACTGTTGAAATAGGACGATTAGATACTTTGGAAAGAAACTTCGATGGCTCGAAACTCTAGTAAGTGGCTAGCAAGTCCTAAAAACCCTTCTAAACTTAGCAAACCCTGACGAATCTCTGCAAACCCTAAACCCTAATAAGGCATGTGAAGGCTAGTAAACCCTAATAAACCCCCTTAAACGCTACTAAACCCTACTAAACCCTAGTAAGCCCTAGACAGCGGGTTTCTGGCTGCTGTGTCTAAGGGAATGCTTATTCGGCAGTGCAGCAGCAGCAGCAACAGCAGCAGCAGCAGCAGCAGCAGCAGCAGCGCTTGGACAGAACCCAAACACATTTAATAAAACCCCCAGGCTTAGGGTTTTTGGCTAGCTCGCTAGGGTTTAGGGTTTAGGGCTTAGGCTGGAGGGTTTGGACTTGCCTTGATTGGATTCATTGAAACTGGGGCGCCGACATCCTCGCTGCTGGCCGAAGGAACGTTTTGGTCTTCTGCCAGCATTTTGAGGGTTTAGGGTTTAGTCGAGGGTTTAGGGTTTAGGGTTTAGGGTTTGGGGTTTGGCAGGGCGCACGTCGCCCGAGCGCGGCCCCACAAAGCAGAAACAACTTTCCTGAAGAGCAGAAAAAACAGGTTAGGGTTTATGGTTCATAGTTTCAGGGTTTAGGGTTTAGGGTTTAGGGTTTAGGGGCTAGGGCTTTCATTTCACTTCTCCTCGCCAGGCAGAGAGCAGCGGCTGGCGGGCGGGGCTGACAATCCTAAACCCTAAACCCTAAACCCTAAACGGCAATCCCTAAACCCTAAACGCTCGACTCGCATTTTTCCTGGGCGTAAACCCTAATTTAGTGTCTTTTAACGAAAAAGACAGCCGCAGTGCTGAGGTGTATGTACACCTCAGCTGTCTTCAATACACTCCAGCAGCAACACCACTGGTTAGATGTGCTGCAGCAGCAGCTAGCTGCTGCTAGGCAGCAGCAGCTAGCTGCAGCAGCAGCAGCTAGCCAGCAGCAGCTAGCTGCCACCCAGGTCTTCTGAGGGGGCTGTCTGCGGCGGGCTAGCTACCAAACCCTAAACCCTGACCCCCAAGCCCTAAACCCTAGCCCCCAAACCCCAAACGCTAAACCCTAAACCCTAAAGCCCGATCCTCAACCCCTAAAAGCCCTAAACCCTAAACCCTTAAGCGTAGGTTCTAAATCGTAAAACCCTGAAGCCCAAACCCTAGGCCCTGAGAACTCAACCCTAAACCCTACCCCTCAAACCCTAAGCCCTAACTCCTAAAGCCTGAAAACAAAGCCTTAAACCCTAAATACCAACCCCTAACTCTAAACTCCAGCTCCAAACCCTAAACCCTAAAACCTAAACCTTAGATTGCAAAACCCTAAACCCTAGACAAGCACCCGCTCAGTATTAATACCAGAGATCCCTTTTCCGTCTCCTTGGAAGACTGCTTTTGCAGCAGGTAGCTGTGGCTAGCCGCGGCTAGCTGTGGCTAGCTGTGGCTAGCTGTGGCTAGCTGTGACTAGCTGTGGCTAGCTGTGGCTAGCTGTGGCTAGCTGTGGCTAGCTATGGCTAGCTCTGCTGGCTAGCCGTGGCTAGCTGTGGCCAGCCTTGGCCAGCTGTGGCCAGCTGTGATTAAGTGTGGCTAGCTCTGGGAAGCTGTAGATAACTCTGGTGGCTAGCTGTGGTTAGCTGTGGCTAGCTGTGGATAGCTGTGGCTAGCTGTGGCTAGCTGTGGCTAGCTGTGGCTAATTGCACCTGGCTGCAGCTAGCCAGAGCCAGTTACAGCTAGCCTTAGCTAGTTACAGCTAGCCGCAGTTATTTACAGCTAGCTGTGGCTAGCTGCAGCTAGCTGTAACAGCTAGGTGCAGCCAGATCCAGCTAGCTGTGGCTAGCTGCAGCTAGCTGTAACAGCTAGGTGCAGCCAGCTCCAGCTAGCTGTGGCTAGTTGCAGCTAGCTCTACTGGTTTGCTGCTGGCGAGGTGCGGCTAGCTACAGCTAGCTGTGGCTAGCTGTGTGGCTAGCTGCGGCCCACGTTCTGGGTAGCTGTGGCTAGCCACAGCTAGCCAAAGCAGCTGCCTAGGGCTTCAAAACCCTAAACCCTCAAACTCTCCAGACTCAAGTAGTGTTTAGGGTTTAGGAAGCAGCAGCAAAAGTGGTTAAAACGGAAAGCCATGCTCTCGTGCTGCATTTGGTGCTGCCAGTTGTGCTGCTGCAGCAACAAAAGCTGCTGCTGCTGCTGCTGCTGCACGGAATAGCTCTGCACCGCTTGCTGCTGCAGCAGCAAGAAAGTTGCTGCTGCAGCGTTACGGAGATA